AGTCAGGCTGGCAGATGGCATGGTGGGTAAAGGCACTGGATTCCCACATGGCTAACTGTGGTTCAAGTCCTGGACCTGCTGACTTGCTTTCTCACTTTCTTTTTCTCCTCTGTCTAGTCAAAATAAAAATAATAATAATAATAATAATAACAAATGGAATTAAATAAACAATTCTTAAAAAAAAAAACTACACAGCCAGCCATGGAGGCATTAACCTCCATGCCACCTGCCGGCCCTCAGTATGTAATGTTTAAATCTAGGTACTTAGTATCCCCATTATCTCAAATGTTTGTTAGCACTTTGTGTTGGTAACATTCAAAATTCTCTGTTTTAGTTACTCTGGGATGTATAATAGGTTGTTTTAACTATACTCTCCCTACTGTAGTTTTTAACACTATAAATCATTCCTCTCATTTATCTATAATTTTGTTTCCGTTAATTGACATTCCTCTATTCCTGCGTTCCCCTGTTCTTCCCAGCCTCTAGTCGTCATTCTCTCTAGCTCTATGAGCACTCGCCCCCCCCCCTTTTTTTTCCCAGTTTCCATGTACGAGGGAGAATGTGTGGTATTTCTCTTTCTGTCCTGACTCAGTTCACTTAACTTAATGACCTCTGGGCTTGCCCATTTAACTCAAATGCTGAGGGTTTTTTGTTTTCCTTTTAATGGTTGAATAGTATTCCTGTATGTATGTGTATTTTCTTTCTGCATTTGTCTGCTGATGGACACTTAAGTTTCTTCTATATCTTAGCTGTTGTGAAGGGTGCTACAATAAACATTGGGGTACAGATTATTTTTAAAGCATATTGATTTTCCTCCCTTTAGATATACGCCTAGTAGTGGCAGGGCTGGATCATGGCAGTTCTATCGTCAGTTTTCTGAGGGACCTCCATGCTGTTTCTGTAATGGCCGTACTGATTTACATTCCCACCAGTAGTGTGAAAGAGTGCCCCTTTTCTCCACATTCTTCACATTTGCTATTTTTTTGTCTTTTGGCAATAGCCATTCTAACTAGGGTAAGATAATGCATCACTCTGTTTTCATTTGCATTTCCCTAATGTTTAATGCTGTTGAGCATATTTTCATGTGTTTATTGCCCATTTGTATGTCTTCTTTTGAGAACTGTTTATTCAGATCATTTACCCATTTTAAAATCAGATTATTTATTTATTTATTTATCTATTGCTGCTGAATTGACTTCCTTGTATATTCTACTTATTAATCCTTTGTCAGATGTATGGTATTCAGATATTTTCTCCCATTCTGTGGGTTGTCTCTTCACTCTGTTGGTTGTTTCATTTGCTGTGCAGAAGCTTTTTAGTTTGATATAACCCCATTTGTTGATCTTTACTTTTGTTGCTTGTGCTTTTGAGGTTTTATATGTAAACTCTTTGCCCACATAAATGTCCTGAAGTGTCTCCATATTTTTTCTTTTAGCAGCTTCATAGTTTCAGTGTTATGTTTATGTCTTTAATCCACTTGGAATTGATTTTTTGTTTTGTTTTTTAGTATAGTGGAAGATACAGGTAGCTTCATTCTTTCACCTATAGTAGTCCAGTTTTTACAGCACAATTTATTGAAGAAGCTGTCTTCCTCAATGGATATTCTTGACACCTTTGTTAAAAATCAACTGGATGTATGTGTGGATTTTATTTTGGGGTTCTCTATTCCATTGGTCTGTGTGTTTTTTCTGGTTTTGTGTGATTTGTTGTTGTTGTTGTTTTCTTCCCAGTACCATGCTTTTTTGTTGTTATTATTGTTACAATAGCTTTATCCTGTGTTTCGAAAACTGGTGGTGTGATGCTTCCAGTTCCATTGCTTTGCTCAGGATGAGTTTGGCTGTTTAGAGTCTTTCATGATTCCATAGGGATTTTGTCATTTTTTTCCTATTTCTGTGAAGAATGTCATTGGCATTTTGATAGGTACTGCCCGAATCTGTACATCGCTTTGTTAGTGTGGACGTGTTGACAGTATTGAGTCCTTCAGCCCACAAACATAGGGTGTCTTTCTAGTTTTTGTGTCTTCAATTTCTTTCATCAGTGATTTCAAGTTTTTAACTATACAGAGATCTACTGGTCCTTTCTGTTTCTTGGTTAAATTTATTTCTAGGTATTTTTCCTTTGTAGCTATTGCCAGTTTGTATATGTTGATTTTGTGTTCTGTGACTTGACTGAATTTGTTTTTCCATTCTAAGAGGTTTGTACGAGTGTGCATGCGTGCATGTGTGTGTGTGTGTGTGTGTGTGTGTAATCTTTAACATTTTCTGTGTATTAGATTACAACCTCTGCGAATGGGCGATTCAACTGCCTCCATTCCACTTTGGATGCACCTGTTTCTCTGGTCTCCTTGCTCTGTCTCAGACCTCCTTGGTGACTCTCTTTGGATAGGAAGACTATGAACAATTATCTTCCTTTTTTCCTCTAATTTTAGATTTTTTTTCAAAGTAAGCCTTTTGAAACTATTTCAGTATTAACTTTTAAAATATCAAAATTAACTTTTTAAACATTTTAAATATAAAATTTCTTTAGTGTGTGTTTCAGAAATCCATCTTAAGAAACTTAAGAGCTTATACTAAGGTGACTTACCAGTTAATTCAAGTCAGCAAGACTTTGGTGTTTTTAGGAAACAGTTGCTTGGTTCCTGTTCTTTTTAGCCACGAGAGTATATAAACGTGGCCCTTTTGGAGAATGTGCATTGGGCCTCCCACCACTTCAGCCTAGAAAAAGGTGATTGCATTTGGTGTTTGCCATTACAGGACAGTAGCTGGATTGCTTCCCTCCCTCCCTTGCTTCAACAGGCTGCGTGCTGACTTAAGAGAGATCTACTGATCCTACCTTCTTGGTTGATTTGGCATCCTTAAATAGTGATTTTCAGTTACTCACACACACACACATACACACACACACACACACACAGTGACCAGTTGCACATTACATGATGGAATGATATTTTAAAGTACTGTACAGCCCAACCACCGTGCTGCTGATGGTGCAGGCAATAGGGTGCTGCAGTGTGATACTGGAGCTCAGGGAGGCCCAGGTTCAGATCCTGGGTTGCCTGAACATACACCGCCTGTGATCCTGGCTGACCAGGAGACTAGGAAAGGACTAGAGGGAGGACCATGGCGTGGCAAGACCCTGTAAAGGGTACCTGTCATTCTCTCTCTTTCACTCTCCTTCTTTCTCAACAGACAGAAACTTTTTTAAAGAATATTTTTTATTTAACTGTATCTATTATTATTATAGTATTAGTATTAGTATTATTAGTATTTTTCCAGTTTGATCAGAGAGAGAGAGGGAAAGTGAGAAAGCGAGCCACCAGGTCTGGGACTTGAACTGCAGTTGGTCATGTGGGAGTCCAGCACCTTTAGCCACCACACCAAGAAGTAAACTTTTCAAAAATACTATATAGAAATATGTTTTTTTAATTTAACTTTGTTTGTTTGTTTGTTTGTTTGTTGGTTTATTTTAATTTGACCAGAGCAGGACAGAGTGAGCAAGAGTGTGGAAACGTGAGAAAGCAAGCCACCAGGCCCAGTACTCAAGCTGCAGTCAGCCATGTGAGAGTCCAGTGCCCTCAACCACCACACCACATGCCAGTCTTAGAAATATGTTGTTTTTATTTTAGAAGTCCCTTAAATGTAAAGAAACATGTCATATCTTTTTCTTGCCCTGTTTATATTCTATAGCATTTTAGAAATACAAAGGATAGGGACCAGCAGGTGGCATGATGGTTAAGATGCTGGACTCCACATGGTCGACTGTGGTTCAAATCCCAAACCTGGTGGCTTTCTCTCTCTCTCTCTCTCTCTCTCTCTCTCCCCCCCCCTCGTGTCATATAGCAAATTTTTAAAATAAGAAAATTAAATAATTATTTTTAAAAAACAAAACAAAATAGAAACATCAACCCAGCACTTAAAGTGGTTGAAGGAAGCAGAGGTTGGGCATGTTCACCGATACCCAGGTGTAATCAAACAAAGGAGGAAGGCGTGATTGGGGCCAGTCCACTGAAAAACTGCACGGAGTGGAGAACAGGGGGTGGGGGCTTGAAGGTGGCCCCCCAAACTGAGGGCAGGCTGGAGTGGAGGATCAGAACCGCTGTTTGGGGCTGAGGCTTTCTTTCTGCTAGCGCTGTGTTGTCCAGGGCCTGTCAGAACAGCCTGGACCATGGGCCTGGGGTGGAGCCTGGGCTGGACCTGCCTCCAGCCTCTCCTGGGTGGAAGGAAAGAACGGGGTGCACAAAGCACTGGGAGAGTTCCGTGAGCCCTGAAGGAAGGAAGGTGCTGCCTCTATTTTTGGTTCTGCGCTGTTCCAGCCGGCACAGCAGGTCCCTCTCCCTGGAATATATGAATCTGTACTTTTTTTAGGTGTTTTTTTTTAATCCATAATACGTGCTTAGGTTCTAAGAGAGTAAAAGCACTTAAATGTATTTCTAGGATCATGTTTCTTTTTTTTTCCCTTCAGACTTTATTTGATGCTGCGTCTCCATTTTCCACCAGCTATTATAAATAGACAGTTCAGCCAAGGGGTGTCGGGTGCCTGTCTTCTTGCTCCGCATTGTGCTCTGTATTCCATGGATGTACTTAGGGCTACACGTGGCATGGGTGTGCTCTAAGTCCTGGACTGCCAGAATTACAGTCTCTAGTCTTTGAGGAACATCATTTTAAAATAGGGGGCACGAACGAGGGGGGACGAGTTCTCCTTTACCCAGCAAATAGTAAACATATGAAACTTACCCCGTTTATAAGCCAGAAATGCAAGTGAAGTCAGGGTAGCTGGGTTAGTTCATCTTGAAGTGATTCCACAAAGAGCTTGCTGTGTTGAGGTTTCCCCAGCCGGCTTCGGGATAGCAGCAGAGTGCGACACGGCGCCTGCCTCAGGACTCCCCGGGCGCGGCTCGGGAACGGGATGGCTAGACGGCCTTCTCTTCTTATAGCCTTGTCCCACTCTGGTCTGCATGTTCGGGTGTGAGCTCTCATGTTTGTGTGCTTGTGTTTTGACAGGTGACCTTGGGGAAGGTGTTGAAAGTGATCGTCGTCATGCGGAGCCTGTTCATTGATCGAACAATAGTAAAGGGGTATCATGAAAACGTCTACACAGAAGATGGCAAGGTAAGTGTTCTGGGGTCTTTTTTTTTCCCCTGTATCTTCTGTATCAGAAAAAAATGTAGTGGAGTCCCAGATGAGCAACATCAAAAGGCAGCAATCACAGCTGAGATGATCAACAAACACAGATTTGTCAGGATGGAGATGAGCACTTTACAGAGAACATTTCATCCTCCCTGCTTGCATTTTTCATCAAGCTTCTGCTTTCCCTCTAAGCCTGGTGCCCTTAGTTGAATTTCTAATTTATCACCTTAGACCCCAGTTGCCTCATTAAACGTGCCTTCTGAGGAAATAGATTTTTTTTCCCAAGTCAAGCAGCACATCAATAGCCCAAGGTTCGGCATTTTGCTTCTCCTAGAACCATGAAGAAAATTCGAGTTAGTTTGACACAACCCGATGACGCTCTTTTCCCATGAAACTAACAAGCAGCCATCGGGAAGCGGCTTATCCGCAACAGGAAGACAAGCACCTTCCATGGGTGATTTGTTTCTTGGAAAGTTCACCCTCGTGAACCCCTAATTCCTTCTGACTGCACACGCTCCATATGGCTCTCCCGAGAGCATCAGAGGATGCTAATGGGAGCTGACAGCCTTCATTTGTATTTGCTTCTGGAGTGTAATGAGCACCCTGCCTGGACACCCCCAGACGCTGCCTGGTCACTTCTCCACTAAGCCCCCTCTCTGGAACTGCCCCTTCATGACGCTCATTAAAATGTACGCATTTGGTAGCACCACCCGAGCATAGAAAGTCCTTCCAGGAAAGGTAGAACGTGGCTTAGCCAGACCTGCGTGTTACGTAAGAGGAACAGGCGGTGATGTAATGAGACTGGCGTTTTAAACAAGCAGCGCGGCATCTCCATGGCCCACGAGGGGTCCCCACGGGGAGCTGCCAAGTTCTCCCAAGTCTCCCCACTGACAGCGAGGACTCCTGGTGGGAAGAATTCCTTTTTCTTTTTGAAGCAAGCATGGAGACTAGAGCAGGCCTGTGTGTGATCCTTGCCATGCAGGCGTGGCCTGTGCATGTGATCCTTGCCGTGTAGGTGTAACCTGTGCATGTGATCCTTGGCCGTGCAGGTGTGGCCTGTGCGTGTGATCGTGGCCGTGCAGGCGTGGCCTGTGCGTGTGATCGTGGCCGTGCAGGCGTGGCCTGTGCGTGTGATCGCGTTGCGGGCTGGGCCTGCGTGTGCGATCCTTGACTCTGACAGCGGCTCCAGAGTGGGCTCCGCCCTGTTGATCAGCGGCGGAAGCAATGCCAGGGCAGGGGTTTCCCTGGTCAAGAGGCCCACCAACAGTGGGTGTGTAGAGGTGCCGTTGCTGCTGGCTTTGTCTGAGGTCGATGACTTCGTAGGCACATCTGGTGTGGAGTACCACCCTTGCTCCCAGGGACTCCAGGTGAATCCGGGAGACAAAGAGCAAAGACATAGGAAGTTCTGGGATAATCAGGTGTGAATGGAGCATACTCTGAATTTAGGCGTGAGGAGGGAGGTTTCACTGGCTTTGCATAATATTCTCCATACTGACTACCCCACTCTGAAGTGTCCGAATAGCCACGTAGAACACCTAGGACTTGCCGCCTAGTCAGTGCTCCATAGACGTGAGTGGTGGTGTTCCACTTAAACCGAGGGAGTTAGAAAACAGTCTCCTTCATACCCTCTCAGATGACCCCTCCTCCACTGCTCCAGGTAGCGCCTTCCTCCTGCCCCCCCACCTTAGGTCCCCCACAGTTCCCTTGCCCTGCCCAGTCCCATTGGCCAGGCCCCTGGGTCATATTCTGCGTGTCACTGTCACCCATGTAGCACGTCTGATCTGTTTCGAGATCAGACCCCTTCTCTCCGGATGATCCCCAAATCAAGCCTCACCATCTCTCCCTAAACTTGGTTTCTTTCCATCCTTCCTCTTCTCGATCAACTCCTCATTGCTCACACTTCCCTCCCCCAGCCCTCGTCCAGTCTGGCTGCGGGTGCTGGCAGTTTCCCCGTCTCCCTTACCACACCTCCTGTGCATCTCCTCGGCCCCCAGGTGCTTCTTGTTTCTGAGCTGGAGAACCGCACTGGTCACCTCACTCCAGGCTCCACTCTTCCCTCCCACAGGCTGTCCTGCACTTGGCTCCAGAGCCGCCTTCCTAAAATACACACCCAGGCGCATGATCCTCTTGCTTTCACCGTCTCCCCATTGCTCAAGGCAGCCCTCCCCACAGCAGGAACGTGGGTATTAATAGAGTAAGGCCCAGAGCCATCCGCGGTCGGCCAGGCTTCAGAGCGCAGTGGGTTTCTTTCCTGTAGGGTTTCTCTCTCGTTTATTTACGTGCCTTATGAGTCTCTCAAGCTTAAGAGGAGTTTCTATTATGCAATATTTTCCTAACTTATCTGGCCAAGTTAGTTTTCTCCCATATTCTTGGAGCATATTGTGACATTGGCAATTTGCAGAACTCACTTCTGAAAACTGGCTTATAGAATAAAATCCAGATTCCTCTTGGTTAACCAAGAGGAGAAAGGAAGGAAACCAAGTTTAGGGAGAGATGGTGAGTTTCATTTTGAACAGGCTGAATTTGGGGAATATCCAGGGAGGAGAGGGTCTGATCTAGAAACAGAGCAGACATGCTCCCTCTGTGGGTGACACAGAGACAGCAGCCGAGGAGACTGGGCAGGGGAAGAGAACCCTGGGGAAACCTGCCTTTCTGGCCTCAGCGGCCTGCATTCTCTACTGACATCTCATCTCACGTTTCAGCCTCAGCTGCTCCTGTGGGCCCAGGCCGTGCCAGGCTCTTGCACACACTCGCACATCCTGTGCCCTTTGCCCCGGGACGGTTACCCTTCTTTGTCCACCGGACAGACTCCACCCTTCCTCTCACTCGGGCTCGGTGCCCTCTTCTTTCTCATCCTGTCCCCTCTTTCTAGGGCCTCTTCTGCAAGCTCTGTGCTCAGGAGAGGGCCCCAGAGATTACACATCTGTGTTTGCCATGGCTATGGCGGAGTGTGCGGACCTCCAGACAGCCTGTACCAGTCCTAGCACCTACTTCCTGGTTACGTATCACTCACCTATTCACACCTTACCCCTATGAAAATACTGACCCGCGGCGTGTCGGCCCAGGAGGCGTTGCACTGAGCGCACTACCTGCGTGGTACTGGGTGCCCCTGAGTGTAACACAGGTACCGCTGCTGGACTCGCTTGACAGGCTAAGGAAGGGGGAAGTAACCTGCCCACAGGCGCAAGCCGGGTCTCAGACTTTATCTGCCAGAAGTTCCCCCGGGGTGCAGACTCTGCCTCTCAGAAACACCCCAGCGCCTGAGGCACAGCAGAAGCCCAGTCTGGGAGGGTGTCATGAAAAAGGCTTAACGTGAAACTGTTTGAACTGGCATAGAAAAGTGGAGAAGCAAAAATGAGAAACGGGGACTAAAAGAAGCAGCAGGAACTAAAGTCCTAAATAAGTCGAAGAACAAAGGAGGCGCTTGTGAGCTCACACACACACACACACACACACACATACACACACACACACACACACACACACACACACACACACACGTTCTCCTGGTGAGAGGTTAGCGTGGCTTCTGTTCATCAGAAGGAGAAAGGGCGTGCATTCGACCCCGAGTTCATCTGTGGTTGGGACAGGAAGTGGTGGGACAGGAAGCCGTGTGTCCCACACACACACACACACACACACACACACACACACACACACACGTTCTCCTGGTGAGAGGTTAGCGTGGCTTCTGTTCATCAGAAGGAGAAAGGGCGTGCATTCGAACCCGAGTTCATCTGTGGTTGGGACAGGAAGTGGTGGGACAGGAAGCCGTGTGTCCCCTTTTACAGCTGCATGCAGTGGCCCAAGTGGTGACAGGAACCCTAACACTAGACACAGCAAGACTGAGAAGTCCAAGCCCCTGTGATATTTTAAGGCCACTGGGCCACATTTGGTAGAGAAGCTTTCAAATGACTGCTCCAGCCACAGAGCAATCCCAGCCGACTTGATGAGCCCCTTTTTTTCGGAGCACTTTACAGGTAATGAAAAAGCCACGCAGACATTATTAGTGTTGTTTTGAGTACTGATGCTGGCGTGTGTACTTGCAGGTATTTGCACACATACAGGCATGCGTGTAATGAATATGTTGAAACATCTGGCACATTCCAAATAAAATGTAATGTCCAGAAGGAGCCATTGGAGCCTAGGAGTGTGAGGTGTGGCCTGAGCACAAATTGTCGCCCGGAGTGCTGTGCCCAGAGCCGCAGCCCTCTCTGTGCTGAGCTGGTGCCCGGATGGCTGCAGGGGTGGCTCGCTGCAGTCTCCTGGAGCACAGCCACACTGGCTGGGGGGGGGG